TTATGAAGGGTGAGTTGATGGTGATGAGGAACAGGAGTGCTGAGTAGAGTGATGAGCCACAGGTGTGGAGGCAGGAGCTCCAGCGGCCACGCCCACCAGTTGCATGCAGAAGGCCAGGATCACGGCCGATGGGCCGTGACAGGATGGAAATGAACATTCCTTCGCATCCTCTCTTGCCAGTTTAAAATTTGCGACACATTTGGATGGAAACACAGCTTATGTAACTTTTGCTGACACTGCAGCCATAATAAAAAGTGATAAGATATTGCTAAAGGGGTTAAGGCGATGAATGCGTTGTTTCCACTTTCAAAAGCTACATACTGCAGTCTCGCTTTAAAGCTGCATTCACTTATTTTTGGCCAATTAGGGGCAGTGGAACAAGCTGTTAACACAACAATGACATGTTTTTACCTACCAATTTCCATACAGAGTAGTCACAGAACAAAATCTGCATTCATTTGGAGTCCTGTTTCTATGATAATTGTAAATCCAGTATTCAGTCTCCTTTTAGCTCTGTTTTTGGTTTCCAACAATTCCTGAGGGAAATGTCTGGCTCTTTAGCTCGGGCTGTGAATGCTCCACTGTGGAGCTAGTTTCTAACTGTGTGTGTCTGCTGTTTGGTGCTGGGCAGGTAGCGTACTAAATGTGCTGTAAAAGCAAAAGAAAGACCTAAAAGATGTTATCAGGCCCTGCAGAGCTGAGGAGAACTGCAGAACTGGGTGGTAGTTCTGTTCACATGTTGGTAGTTAAGCTTTGTTACATAAAACAGTGGTTAGATTCTGCTTTTGACAATGGTTTTCCTGTCAAGTAAAAGTGAAAGCTCAGGGTGTTATTAGACATACACAACAACTGCTATTTCTCGGTCGATTCTGGTCAAGGACCTTTGTCTCATTTCATCCCCCTCTCTGCCTCCCACCTGTGTTTCCTCTCTGTGTTTTCCGTTTTATTAATCAAGGTTAAAATATAGGGTAAGGGGCATTTGGATAGCTCAACTGGTAGAGCTATACCAGGACTGAATCCTTGCTGCAGTGGCCGAGGGTTCGAATCTGACCTGTGGCCCTTTGCTGCGTGTCATCCCCCTTCTCTCCCCCCTTTCCTGTCTATCTTCAGCTGTCACTATCAATTAAAGGCAATAAAAAGCCTACAAAAAGGTTTGTTCTTCTCCACTCTGTCATTCTCTTATATGAATAAATTATATAATGTGCTCTGTCTGTCACAGGCTTGATGAAAGATTTGGATCACCCCCACATTGTGCGTCTGATCGGAGTCATTGAGGTTGATCCTGTCTGGATCGTCATGGAGCTCTATGAACATGGAGAGGTGTGTGATTTTGCATGGCTGTTGTGTAAAACATGGATGTTAATACTGATATTGTAAAAGACGGAAAGTTTCCTACTCAATATCTGCATCACGATCTGTCGTACCCTTTCGGGAAATTGAAAATGGGGCTTTCCAATGAAGGAAACAGATCCAAAATGAGTAAATAGATAAATACTGAATGAAGTAAATATAGCGAGTTAAGTCTCACAATATAAGTAATGTGAGATGAATGTGAATGCAATCTGCACTGTATCTTGTAAAAAGCAGATGTTTCTGTTCCCCTGACAGCTGGGGAACTATCTGGTGGAGCAGCAGTACAGCCTGACCATTGCAACGTTAATCCTGTACTGTCTACAAATCTGCAAGGCCTTGGCTTACCTGGAGGGACTCAATATGGTGCACAGGTAACAGAACAGCCTCATGTATTTGTGACCCCCTTTTGCTAAAAACGGGCCTTCGGCTGTCTTTGGTGTGGAGTTTTGCCTTTTTTGAATCTCTTGCTTTTACTATGAAAAACTTGTTTAAACAAGCCTTGGATGGGGTTGTTACTCTACAGAAACCAGGAAGTATCTAGCTTCTGCGAACATCTATCGAAATACTAAATGTTTAATCTAATTAAATATAATGCTTTTATTTTGATGCATACACTGTTTTTACTCTGGTTCCTGTCTGGTTTCTGTTCTGTCTGTGTGCCGTAGAGATATCGCGGTGAGAAACGTTCTGGTGGCTTCTCCTGACTGTGTCAAGCTCGGTGACTTCGGCCTCTCTCGCTACGTCGATGAACATGAATATTATAAAGGTACACACACACACACACACACACACACACACACACAATGTCTGTCGCAGTGTGCTCAGCGAATCGTTCTTGCCTGTTTTTTAAAGTTCATTTTTTAATTTGCATGCCTTCACAATAGTTTAATCTTTGTAAATGTGAAAGTCCAATCTGTATTCTTGTCCATTTCACATACACTTTAATGTTTCTCCTCTGTGTGCAGCCTCGGTTAGTCGATTACCGATCAAATGGATGGCACCTGAGTCCATCAACTTCAGACGCTTCACCACAGCGAGTGATGTGTGGATGTTTGGTGAGAAATACACTCATCTGCACACACATGTACAGACTAGTGTGTGTTTTTGTGTGTACGAATATAAATGTAACCTTATATTTTGTTCCTTAGAGTATAGATTATATATTAGAGATAATAATAATAGGTGAAATCTGCCACATTATCCTTGCTAACTGCATTATTTGTTCTGCTAGATTAGAAACTTGAAAGGCGTGGGTCTCTGATTTAGCAAAGGGTAAATTATTCTGAAACATCAGAGATTCTTTTCACCATGATAAAAGCCAATCCAGCTGTGTGTGTTCAACCAGGTGTGTGCGTGTGGGAGACCTTCTCCATGGCCCAGCAGCCGTTCTTCTGGCTGGAGAACGGGCAGGTGATCAACCAGCTGGAGTCGGGAGTTCGGCTCCCCAAACCGCAGCTCTGCCCGCCCACCATCTACTCCCTGCTCAGCCGCTGCTGGTCCTACGAACCAAACGTCCGGCCCAGCTTCAGCCAACTCGTCTGCTCCCTGAGGTACACTCACTATGCACACACACACGTATTTCTTTCTTCTATCTGTTTCCAAGGTTCAAAAGTTTAAAGACACTCTGCCAAAGACTCACCTAAATGTGTTTTTTTGGTTCGGTGTCATGTAAGTTAATACAGTTCACCTTTAAGAACACATTAATGTATTATTTTAATGTTACTTTTTGCCTACATATGGGACTGGACTGACATCTTTATACACACTAAGTGACGCGTGTGATGTTTGTGTGTTTGACAGCGAGATCCACAGGACTGAGTTAGGGCAGGAGACTGGTGTCGGACGAGACAGGTCACATCGCAGCTCTATTGTATCATTATTTGACCCTAACCTCACAGAGCCTCCACCCAAGGTACTACACACACACAAACACACACTAACACCAAATAATGTCATCTTATAATATGTTTAGGAGACAGTGAACACAATGTGCATATAAATCTGAAATGGTCAACATTTAGTTTCTTTGTTCAAATTGTCCTTGTATTTCGTGCATCCTTTATCCGTATTTGAGTCCACTTATTTTCGATTTTAAAATATTTAATGTGGACCCAGGAGACACTAGCAGCACCTATGTGGAGGTTAAGGGGAATGTAATGAAAGAATAATGCATACATATTTGACAGCCCTTTAATAAATGACACAACCTCTCTTGCTCTCTCTCACCAGCCATCCAGAACACAAGGCAACACCCTTCCTCGGGTCAGGAACCCACAGGTGTCTCTCTCTCTCACACACAC